ATTATAGATGTTCTGATAACTCCAATGTTTTTCAGGCGAAGTTTATCACTATTAAGGAAGCTATAGGTTGTCTGGATGTACATAATATATGTTACATACTTGATTAGGATATATGCATACTATCAGATATTCAAGTTGCTTTAAGGCCCTTGAGTTCACACTATTTAACATCCAGGCAGTATTTTGATTGTTAGACATTTCTAAATGAGATGACGATGCAGTTTTAATCTTTTATACTCTATGTTTCTGAACATAGGGATGACAGCAATTTCAAGTCAAAGAAGAAGATCATATGGGTTGCTTCAATTAATCACTCGAAACACCTACAAAATGTTGAGCAATTCAATAAAAGATGAAAAAACTTAACCATATACTCGTATAGACATCTGTATGCAAGTTGGCCTAGTTTCTTTAATACTATGCTTATGATATGTTTAGTGAAATTACTAGTCTTGTGGTAGGTTTATTCACCGGTCATACCAGATTAGAGAACCATGCTGAAAGATTAAATGCTCTGATTAATCATTCCTGTCGCAGTTGTGGAGAAAAAGATTAAAATGTTTTACATTTGCTTTGTTACTGCCCGGCGCATATGCTGCACCGATTTACTGTTTTTGCGGTATCATTTTTGAGGATTTTGACCTGATCAAGAACATCCCTTAAAGATCATTCTAGTATTTGTCAAAAATTTAAGTTGGTCTTTGAGTCTTTGAGTTCTTATACAAAAATTGGATCCTTAGGCTCGCCGGTATAACCTTACCTAACTTAGCATAACTTTTAGAATTTGTTTTGTGAAGGACATTCTATTGAAATTAAACCCTACACACATTTCATTTTTAAGTATATATTATTAAATATGATGGGAATTCTCCCATATTGATATAACTTGCTGCAAATATTGGATTAAAAATGAAGAACAATCTGCTCAAAATAGCTCAGGTTTTCAATATAGTAAAAGGACTTTATTGTCCTTTCCTATGCTCTCTCACATATTTGTTATGCCTTTCATTTGAAGTAAACAAAATTGTTTAATTTTATTACAAAATTGCAAAATAAGCAACATAATAATATTAAAAAAGTATTAAAATTTTTTAGATATGTACCAAAAAGAAATATTAAAATAGTAGTGACTTCTTGTGAAGGAAATGAAAGTTAAATTTTCGGTTTCCAAGCAATTATACAAGAATAGAAATAAAATTGTTTTAAAAATGCAGGGAAAGCAGAAATTTAAAAGGAAATATGTTTTCAGTCCTTAAGGATATGTTCTGGTGTACATTTTCATTTTTTCTAATTTTTTTTTCACATTTGAATTGTGCTTTTGCTGCATTTTATGTTGCTTTAATTATTGTTGTTTGTTTTTTTGTTTTTGTTTTTTTCAGAGTTCAACGTTTTTTCATTCCTATTTTGCGTACTCTTGGCTTTCATTAACTAATTTTGCATGTAAATTTTCATTGTTTTGGGCACAGTTGCTTTCGAATTGCTTTTTGAGCTTTTATTCCCTTTTTTGTTTTGGTTTTGTTTGTTTTTTGTTTTGTTTAGTTTTGGGTTTCTGTTTTGTGTGTGAATTTGTTACTGCTTTTGTATTGTTGTCATTTATTTGTTTGTTTAAGCTTTTCATAATTTTAATTTCACTTGTGCCCCTTTTTGCTTGAAATTCATTTGTTGTTTTTATTTGATCCGTGCCATTCTCACGCAAACACACAAACACACAACATAGGTACATATACACACTCTTTGGAATATACTCGTATGCAAATTGTTGTAAGTGTAAATTTGCATATTTGTGTTGTTGGTTATGTGAGGCTGTTCGGAAATTTTGTTAGCGTATGAGCATTTATGTGTATGCGCCTGTGTGTGTTCATTTCAATTTAGCCTTTTTGTGTACTTTTTTTTTGCACACTTTTGTTTGACTTTTTATGGACACAATTTGCTCACTCTTTATGCACAAGAACGTCCTTATTCTTGTATTAAAAGTAACATTAAACCAACAACAACAACACCAACAACAACAAAAGCAACTGTGACAACCAAAACAACATAAGCAATAACAAATGCAGAAAACACAATGCAAAATAAGAACGATTCTTTAGGTTTTGCATAAAAGCACAAAACAGATACAAAAGTAGTTACAAAACCAACTGATATAAAAAACAGGAAAAAATGAAAAAAAAAACAAAACAATTAGTGACAGTCATACAGAATACAAGATAGTACGGTACATTGTTAGTAAGGCCAATTCTAGTTTATGTGAGAGGTTTTTTCAACGATTTTCTACATTTAAGACGTGACCATTAAAGTTAATGGCATTGTATTTAAAAGAATCTAACTAACTTATTGTTATAGTTCTTCTAGTTAAGTATATTTAATAGTATTTTCAAGCATTTAATGAGAAAAATTTCTCTGTCATTAATATTGCGAAAAACATTATTGCATACGTAAAAAAAATTTCAAAATTTTCTAAAGCAATTAAGAAAAATTAAAAACTAAATTAAGAATTTTTTTTAATTTATAAAATCATAACCACACGTCCCAGGTAGTTTTGCTATTACAATCAAACATTACAACAAAACAGTGCATATGTTATGCATAATAAAAATAAATTATGCATTTAATGAAACCGAAAGAAATCGAGCCAATGAAATGCTCTACTAGATTCATATTATATTAACAAAGTAAAATCTTTCACTTTAAACAGACTTGCAGTCACTGCTTTAATATATAGATTAAACAAAATAAAAAAAAACTTCATTTTAGCATTTTAGTGCTTTAAAGTGCACCAAAATATTATGTTCGGACGACGAATATATTCAAAATCGAACATTTCAATTTAATATTTTAATTGTTTAAAAAACGTTTCATTTGAGCTACACGAAGATAATGAAGTTGCGCCAACAGTAAATCTAGTATATGTTTTGTTTCATTTTTATTTTAATACAATCAAATACTGGCACACAATATACTGTTCGAAACTTTCGAGTAGTGATCTGTGTTTGAGTTTATTTATTCGAACAATATTTGAAACTTTTGCGTATTTTGTTACTGTGAAAATAAATCAACTACTTTCATTGACCACCTTTATTAATTAAAAAAATATGATATATTTTAATTTTAACTTTCAAATAAATCAATACTGGAGCTTGAAAATAATTGCGTTTGTATAAACACAAGATATAGAACTCAAAAACAAGACACTGATTTCATAACAACATTCTATTAGAACTATTTCAATTATCAGAATGCATTACAAGATATTATAATACAAAACAAAAGTAATACATCTGATGTTTCATAAAAAATATGAAATATAAATATAATAAGTAATTCCTTGCTTTAAAATATAAAAAAATTCTATTTATATAGTTTTTGTATTTAGTTTTATTTATATAGTCCATTTCTATATAAAATTTCCAACGTTTTGAATTCCTTTGACTTCTTCACTAAAGCAGGATGTTTAAACAACTGGACTTACAATCATATAATTACTGTTATTTGTAGTGGAACAATAAGAATTAACATATAATAATAGCTTTTAAATAATAAAAATAAGTCAATTTTATACAAATTGAACTATACAAAAGATCGTATAAAACAGCGTGTCTAAGAAAATCCGACCTCAAAAAGATAATTTATAATTTTAAAAACAAATTTCTACTTGTGCTTAAATGAGTTCTAAAATTGTAATGACTCAGATTTAGTTTTTGTTGCGGGAAACCTAAATTTGTTTAAAAAATATATAAACTATTTTAATTGATTATCGAAAAATAATATTCGTTTTGAAATACATCATTTCTCAGTAATCGGAATTTGTACTGAGCAAGCATTTTTTCATCATGAATGAATTGTTTGAAATGATTTGTACACAAGCCTGCTATTCCAGCCTAACGTAACCTAACCGAACCTAATATCCTCTTGAAAAAGTCAGTAGGAAACTTGTTTTAAAAACTAAGAGAAGGGAGTTAGTAATATATAAAAGCATATATGTGAAGGCATGTGTCACACTAATATAACCGTTTTAAAATGTAGCGCAAATAAGCAACCACAATAAAAAAGTTAAATCTTCCGCTCAGTAACAGTGCAGAAAATGTATGCAAATGTGAATTTGTAAATGTTGTATAAATTCGAAATGACAGAACACATAAAAAATGAGAAATGCTGAAAAATGAAAGTGGATTTTCCTTCTGTTAAGTTAGTCATTCATGCAAAAAAATATTAAATTTACAACATAAAAAAAGAATCAAAAAAGGAGAGCCACAACAAAAAGTAAGACAAAAGCAACAACAACGACAACAGATTTAAAGTTAAAAAAAATTATTATTCCCATTGCCTTAAGCGGCAAAGTCTTTTATTGGCATATTTACGACTGCGATTGGACCTAGGTTTCTTTAAGTGATGCTGTTCCGTTCTCATTTCTTCCCGTTTCGCCGTTCACCGTTCGCCGTTCACAGTTTGCCTTCTGCAGCGGCAGTGCTTTGTAGAATTATTATCTCAAATACACAGTTGGCCTCTTTATCCTTAAGCTACTTTGTGTAAATAAAATACGTTTCTTATTTTTATTTGCATATTGCATTACTGTTACATGCAGCAGCTGTAGTAGCCGTACGGCTACTATGGCAGAAATGGAGTACATGTAATAATACCAGATTCTGACCACAAATGTAAAAATTCTGCAAATAGCAAAAAATTCTTTTGTAGATACAATTTGATTGAAATATTTCGTTTCAAAATTTTAATGCCTCTCTTAACCTCCTGACCCCAGTGAGTAAATAACCATAAAGGTACGTTAATGCTAAGGAAAACCCAATTTCCGATTACAACAGATAAAGGATAAATAATTGCATTGCACTGCGATTTATTTTGCTATTCATGTGAACTCATGTGAATGCAAAAATATTTTATATTTCTCTGATAATATTCATATTATATATTTTATATTAAATTTATATATAAATATTTAAACAAATATATTAACTTTGTGTGCTTTTTCTACTTATATTTTGCAGACTTCATCGCTTTATCTCGTATATAGTCTTGCTTCTAAAGAAATCAACTATAATTATTAAGCATATACCGGAACTGACAAAATTGTACATAGTCGTAAAATAGTTATAAGTAATTTTAACTAAACAAAAAAGGTATAATTTAATATATAATTAATAATTAATTAATTCATTAAGTTAAGATGAAAATTTCTAGTAAAATTCTAAATTTATTAAATAAAAACAAAAAATAACAAAACTTAGTAAATTCATTAAATAATAAAAGGTTTTCGATTACACGCGCATAGCACAATTTTAATAAAAACATGATTGATTAGTTATTATAAAATTGTTAAAAAAAAACAAATATAACATTTATTAGAAATTTTTATAGGTTCAAAATCGCATATATCAAACGAAAGCATAGCATCAAAGATTTACATACAGTAACCTTATCGGTCCAAGTTACATTTAATGCTAGAAAAAACAAAAACTATATACTTTAAAAATCGAGTAAAACATATAATTTAAAAATTTCGAAAAAAAATTGATCCTTTTAAATAAAATTTTTTCTACACTATTTCAAAAATTAAAATTTTATTTTATATAGATAATAGTTTTTTTATTTTTATTTCAAAATATAATTTCAACTCTATTTTGTATAAAAGAAATTTTGTTTAATTTTACAACTTTTAAGAGAATAAAATTATATACATTAAGACTGAAAAGTTTTCGGAAATTCTCATTTAAAATTCGCGCGCTGTATATTTTTCGATATTTTAAGTTTATGTAGTTTGGCAGCACTGTCCTTAATTACTATGCCAAAAATGAGCGCGATCTGTCAGACAGTTCGTTTACGGCAGCTGTTGAAACCAGTTCACCTCAGTAGTGCCGTTGCGAAATGTCTTCGACGGTCGTACGACCGTCCTGAAAGGCTTTGTACCACTCATAAACTTGAGTTTTCGATAAAACTGATTCCCCATAAGCCTTTTGTAGCATTCGCAACGATTCTGCACACGAAATTTCGTTCGAAACACAAAATTTGATGCAAACTCTTTGTTCAATATTTTTTTCCATTGTTTTTTTCGCAACGCACTACTGAGGTGAACTGGTTTCAACAGCTGCCGTAAACGAACTGTCTGACAGATCGCTCTCATTTTTTGCATAGTAATTGTCCTTAATTGCTGCCAAACTACATAAACTTAAAATATCGAAAAATATACAGCGCGCGAATTTTAAATGAGAATTTCCGAAAACTTTTCGGTCTTAATGTATTATATAAAAAATTTTTAATTATTGGTACTACTATTACAAAAATTAAAATTGTATTTTATATAGTTAATATTTTTTTAAACCTTGTTTCAAAACATTTCAGTTTTGTTCAATATAAAAGAATTCTTTTTCAATTTTAAAAATTTCAAAAGAAGAAAATTATATCATATAAAAAAATTTTAATTATTATTTTCACTATTTCAAATATTAAAATTGTATTTTATATATAACAACATTTTTTTATATATATTTCAAAAACGAACTCTTTTTATTTTAAAAATTTCTAGAACAATATATTTTAAAACTAATATGAATACACTGAGCGAAAAAGTTGTCACTATGCCATGATTTTCTTGACATTGTCTCTGATTTAATCAAAAAACCTTTTAAGAAAAAACTACAAGTTTTTAAAGTTTTACTTTAACTATTTAAAATTCAGATTTTATTATGAATTAAAAAACAAAGTCAAAATTTAATATTATAAGTAAAAATTTTCTTATGACATTAATTAAGTTTGCCTTCTTATAACATATACTATGTAGTATATATATATATATTTATTATTGTTATTATTATTCAAAAATGTAAATTTAATTATTAGTATATTTGAATTAAGTATAACTTTCTAATAATTTTAAGTAGAAGACATTTTTAAATTTAAATTCGTTATTTTCTAATAGTTCTAAGCGTTTTATGTTTTTCGTTTATGTTATATTAGTTGTATTCTTGGATGACCAAAGAACAGTGTTAACTACCCTCGTACATACTTTAGATTGTATTAAGAATTTACATAAAATAATGTATAATACTTTACGAGTTTTAAGGCTAATAACAAAATAAAAAATAAAAAAAAAAGATTCATTAAATATTTAAAATCAAAGCTGAAGCTTGTTAGTGATATTAATTTTAAAAATTATATTGTACTTTATAAATGTTAACAAAATGTTTAAATATATAATTATTTAAAACAAATTTCAAAACGAAAAACTTTATTTTATTTGTTTTATATTATAAAAATCAAACTTAAAAACAGCACAGTGGTTTCCAATTAAAAAAAATAAATCAAAAAATATTTTTTAAATTTGTGAAGAAAATCTGCATGAAGCAGACACGATCGAACACCAACCAAAACAACACTGTCCAAATAGTTTTCTCATATTAATTTTCACAAATATATTTCCTGAAAATAAAAATGCATAATATTTCGACTTGGGTCTTACTTGTATACAGGGTGTTTTGCTTTAAAGTGTTTTTAGGTTTGGGAGATGATTTCTGGTTCCATAAACGTAAAACTTCTTTAGGTACAACTTCTTCGTATCCGCCAAAGTGATGCACTATCATATTTATATTAGAAGGTTATGAAGATAAATGCTTCATCTCTCTCTTCAAGGTATATATATCAGTAAATATTAAGAATATATTATCTCGCTCTATGCATAAGATTTTTTGCGTTCTTCTGCTTAAAGAAAGCACACCCTCTATTTCTATAATTTTCTTAAAAGGCATCACATGTTTACTTTCGTTTATATCATCATTATTATCTCTGATAATCATTTTCGGACCATTTTTTCAGTTGGGGTGTACTCAGGAGTATATTAGATATCTTACAAAAATATTGAATACCAATGCATACAGTTAAAAGAGAATTGATAAAGAGAATTGAGAGAAGATGTGGCACTGCGACCGTTGGGTCTATTGTGCGCCCTCCTAGGTTAGAGTAGGTCTCTAAGTCCTGTTGCGTCGTGAATATATTTTCATTGATATAATAAGTGATTATCTTGATTCGTGTTTTGAAATAGCATTCCACAATCACAGTTATTATATACCTTGACTATAGACTTAACCTTGACTCACTTTTTTTAATCTTGTGAAAAAACTTTTTTTTTGCCAATATCTTATATCTGATATGTCATTTTAATAAGACAACCAATATGTTGCAATTTTGGCTTCTGTGCTTGGTATGCATATCGATTATAATATTGCATTAAATAATTATTATAATGTTATATAATTATTATAACTGTTATAAAGTGGCTTCTTGAACAGTAGTGAACTACAACAACAAAAAATCATTTTATATTATTTTGATTAATTGAATTTTTGGCTGAACATACACCTGTTTCGGGTATTGCCAAATACCCATCATTAGTTGTCCTGAAAATAATTCTTGTATTTAATTATTCGCAAATAATTTTTTGAAACTGCAAATACCAGTAACTCGTGCCCTGCCAAATTTGAAGCTCAGAGTCAGCGCACTTTAATCAATTGACCCAAAGCTGTACTTCACTGTTATTAAATATTTTACTTATAAAATAAAATATTTTTTTGTGCTTATACATTTCTTTATGTAATATGCATGAAAATTTAGCTTGATATGTACTTTTCCTAGCCCCCTTTTGACCAAATGAACAAGTTTATTTCCTCTGAGCAAAGTTCTACGCTGTGCTGTATTAATTTCGTAGTTTTTATTTTTCTTTTGTTTGTAGATTAACTTTTAAATCTGTGATTCTAAAAATTAATTTTAATTTTAATAAATTTTTAATTACTTTCAAAAAGTTGTGTGCCTCAATTGCACTAAAATTTTCTATTGTTAAAATTTTGTTTCATTGAAAATTGTCTATATTGTATATTAGTCGAATATGTTATATATATCAATCAAAAATGTTAAATTATTTAAAATATTATTAGTTAATAAATTACTGAAATTATGTAAAATATAAATAAAACAAAAACCACTCATTAAATTAGCTTAAAACCATTCAAAATAAATAAAGTGCATTAAAGATTTTTAAATGATAAATAAACAAATATTTGAAATTGAAAATTGAAAATTTAATAAAATGCAAATTAAAATTAAAATTGTTCCAAAATGAAAGAATATACAACAACAATAACAACAACAAATTGATTAAAATTACAAAAATACACAATAATAAACACACTTAAAAATATATCAAAAAATAAATATTTCTAAAAATTTTATGTAAACGCAAATAATAAAAAAAAAATAATTTAAAAAAAAATAAAAAAAACAAAAATAGAAAATGCAACGCAAACAATTTGTAAGCAAAATTATTAACAAATGAAAATTATTCCATAAAAAAATAATAAACACAATTAAAATGTAAACGAATTGTTTAATAAACACAAAGAATATTTAAAAAAAAATTAAATAATTTCATATTTTGTTTTAATAATTTTATATTTTTGTTAAATTTAGCAAATGATGGCATCGAACCTCAAACACGTCAAACCCAATTTATGAGATTTCAGTTACGTTTTTCTATTGCGTCTACCAACACTGAACGTTGTAAGTAATGGGCCATCAAGCAATAAATGCTTAGTAATGAATATATGAATAAATAAAACAAAAATTTTTCATATTTTATTTGTTAAACTAAAAAAATTTTAAACAGTACTATTTTTGGTACTGATATATAATGTGAGTTGAACTGTTTAAAACCAAAATTAAAAAATCTTGTTTAGTATTACTAAATATAATAAATGCTAACTGTATTTCTAAAAGAATTGAGCCATCGGTTATCAGATAAACATAGATACTCTTGTAAATTAAACACTCATCTAAAAGATATTGGTAAAACAATAATACAATTTCCATCGGTTTTGTTGTATATTGGACATTCTTTATTTTAACTAACTTTTAACATAATAATATCTTATTTTTATGTATCCTATTTTAAATAAAAAACAAATAATAATTGTAATTTAGTTCCCAATGTCTAGCCTATGTAAGGGTTATAGTAACGTTACTACTTATTCCAGTGAGTACTAAAGCTTCAATCCCGAGATGTCTATTTCAGTGCTAGAAACTCTAACAGAT